TCCTCAGCACTGGAGCTCTCCAGGGTTGTGTCCTGAGTCCCCTGCTGTGTGTGACCAATAAAATTTTAATTTTAATTTTATCACAGCTTCAGGTCACTATGGATACTTAATAATGTCCTATGGTCCGAGAAGGGCACACTCCACCTGAATATCTACCAAACAAAACATTTTTTGCCTCGGCGAGTCTATGAGAAATCAACTCACACTGGGTTCACATGTTATTTAGCTCAGGCTATCCCGGTATAGCACAAACCATGTCTTTCATGAGTAACAGATTCTGTTTCACCAGCTCAGGATAATACCCTTCTCTACCAGTAGAGGATGCACTCTCATGGGTTCCAGTGTGACCTCTCCACTTCATCATTTCACCTATATAAGCTCACTCTTTTGAGTAGTCTACTTGTTCTGAGCCTTGTTTTATCACTTCAATTTGCATTTCAGTGTGCTTAGACCTTTTGCCTGTTCCTTTGTATTAGTTTTTGGATTATCCTCTGGTTCCGTTGTGTGATGCCTGATTGTGTTTTGACCATTGTCTGCTACTATGTTGGATTGGGTATTGGTGCTGCCAATAAAACCTTCCTGCATATGGATCCTAAATCATCTCCTGAGTCCAGTTCATTACAACAAGTATAACATATCAAATGATACAATAAAAAACTGCTACAATGAAAGGTTACACAAAAAGATACTGATAATAGAACATTCAATATATTCAACATTAGAACATATTGAGTAAATTGAGTCATAGACCTGAAAAAAACAAAACAAAACAATAAATCTGCATTGGTTATCTATTTAAAATATTAGTAAAAGTTAGCTATAGCATTGTCTAGCATCACCACTGGTTTAAACGTGTTGCCCTTACCCTGCCTTACTAAATTATTTCAAGTTATCCTTTAAAAAAAATGAGGCAAATGCTTTTGATGCCTAGTTTTATAATTATATTAAAACTGTATGTTTTAATTTATTATTTCAGTATAGACACAGCAGAGCTGCTGTACCTATACAATAATGCAGTAATCTGCCAATACTGTAAATATTTCCCCACAATATCTCTGAAGCACATTTCCGGTATTATATTGGTTTGAACACAGTATTTCATTATACTATTTAAAGAAATTCTTTATTGTGCTGCTCTGCAATCTCTAAGATGTTGTGTATTCATATGTGTTATAACGGAATGTTAAAATTTGTTGCATAATTTCCACAGCCACTGAGTATTATATGTTGTATGTGGGTGTTCTCAGTAAACAAAATTCCACTGAATGCATGTTCATGCATGTCTCTTTACAGTGCAGAAGGCAAGCCTGCTCTTGTCTGACATTTAGTCATATCCTTTCGAATAAAATGTTGGTGTCCTTAAATAGCATGGCATGTTCATATAAATCCACTGATAAAATATCAAGGGCATCAACAAGGCAGTGCATGATGATAGGTCATTTTTTAGCCAATTTTTTCCCCAGGTTTTTCACATGCTAACTGGTGGATATTTAGAGAACTTTAAGAACAACGTACTAAATGTAAATATTGATAAAGCTTAATAAACAGATGTCTTATTATTCTTAATTGAAAATGGACTTTCCAGAAAGTATTGACACTTATAGCAGATTAGAACACAGTCACATTGTGTTCAGGCAGGCTACAAAAGGGTAATTCGCAAATATTTTGAATAATTCACAAATATTTACGCAACTAGTCTGTTAGTGACGTAACCCAGGCTAAACTAGAAGTAATAGTTTATTCATGTGTCCTTTCAGATAAACATCATGTGATAAATGAGACAGCCTTGTCACGTTACACCTTATATCTGCTGAGTCCATTGTCACTTGGTCATTTTATACCTTACTTTAGGACAGTGCAATGCTTTGTTTACAACTTTGCTTTGTTTTTTTTCCTCTTTCTCTTTCCTTGACTTGTATTATATTTTCTTTATGCTTGCTGTACTTACTTAATTCTATTTTGATCATATTTGTACATGCTCTTGTATTGTATATGCGTTTATATATTCTGTGCCTTATATTACATGTAAGCAATTTACCTGAGCCTCACCAAAGGCATTTGAGCGTACGTATGCTTAACATTTCACAAATGGCACTAAAATGGCACAAATTGCATTGGAGAGCCTCCACTCTACCAAGAAGGCTTTCAAGTAGATTTTGAACATACTCTTTTCAACAAAAATAATGGGCCAAGCCGAAAATGACAAAATATTAAGCTTTTAATGGCCTTTACAACAAAAAATGCACTCTTGAGATCTCCTGCGCCAGCATTTGCTCTTTTACTTTTGCCGCAGCGAACTGGTTAAAAGCTAGAAACAGGGAAATTCACTTACAGCACCCTCCACTAATATTGGCACCCTTGGTAAATATGAGCAAAGAAGGCTGTGAAAAATTTTCCTTATTGTTCAAACTTTTGATATTTTGTTAAAAAAAAACTCACAAAAATACTCTGCGCTCATGGATATCAAATAATTGCAAACAGAACACAGGTTTATAAAAATAATATCTTTGTTAAATACTGGTGTGCAACAATTATTGGCACCCCTGTGAATTCATATGAAAAAAATATAAGAATAGAATATTCCCATTGATATTTAAAATTTGTTCAGTACACCTGGGGGACTAGGAACAGAAAATTGTTTCACAGGGGAATAAATATGAGGTAATACATAGGCCAAATTCCCTTAGTCATTCATCACAATGGATAAGACCAAGGAATATAGCTGTGATGTGCAGCAAAAGGTTGTTGAGCTTCACAATATGGGAAGTGGCTATAAGACAGTAGCAAAAGCATTGACAATGTCCATTTCCAAAATTAGGACAATAATTAAGAAGTTCCAGTCAACTGGAAATATTATGAATCAACGTGGAATTGGACGTGTTTCTATATTGTCGCAAAGCACTGTGACGAGGATGGTTCTAGTGGCCAAAAAAATCTCCAAGGATCACAGCTGGAGAATTACAGAAATTAGTTGCGTCTTGGGGTCAGAAAGTCTCCAAAACTACAATCTGAAGTAAGCTACATCACCACAAGTTGTTTGGAAGGGTTTTTAAAAAAAGCTTCTACTCTCATCCAAAAACAAACTCAAGCATCTTCAGTTTGCCAGACACTACTGGAACTTCAAATGGGATCGGGTTCTATGGTCAGATGAAACCAAAATAGAGCTTTCTGGCAATAAACACCAGAGGTGTTTTTGGTGCACACAGAGAGGTAGCCATATGGAAAAGTGGCTATTTAATGTTTTGGGGCTGCCAGAGAACCTGAACATTTTGTTAGGGTACATGGCATCATGGACTCTATCAAATATCAACAAATATTAAATGAAAACCTGACTGCCTCTGCCAGAAAGATTAAAATCACTGACCACAAAATCAAGGTCTTGCCATGGCCATCCCAGTCCCTTGACTTGAAACGAATAAAAAACCTGTGTGGTGAACTGAAGAGGAGAGTCCACCAGTGTGAACCTTGAAATTTGAATGATCTGGAGAGATTCTGTATGAAGGAATGGTCTCAGATCCCTATGCCATGTATTCTCCAGCCTCATCAGGAGAAGACTCAGAGCTGTTATTTTGGCAAAGGGAGGTAGCACAAAGCATTGACTAAAAGGGTCCCTTGGATAATCCTGTGTTGTGTTTGCAGTTGTTTGATATCTATGAGAGCAGAGTATTTTTGTGAATTATTTGAGCAAAAGATCAAAGGGTTAAACAATAAAGACAATTTTTCACAGCCCTGTGATCTTCATGTATGCAAAGGTAAAATCATGATAATGATTAAAAAATTTAATGTAAAATTCAAATTAACACATGTCTAGGTGTACAAAATGAAAAAAAAAAAAAAAAACTGTCTGCAAGTTTACCCACAAGGCTTTGAGACACAAACATGTTTCTCTGTTAAAGGTTCGTCTGCACATTTGCTAAAGACCCTGAAACAAAACCAGGTTGAACTGCCTCAAACTGCTCCCTATCAGTACATAGAAGTGTATCGTTCCCTGCGCTTCATATACAGCACAAGCACCCAGAGCGCTCTCATCTTCTAACCTGTACTCATCCTTCAAACTTCTTTACCTGAGAGTCTTAGAGTGTTGTCTAATTTCCACAACATTTTGGCTTCCCTGGTTGGGCTACATGAGTGTTCCAGCTGCTTCTGGACAACAAGCAAATCAGAGGATGCTCGTGAACTATTTCACCCTGAAGCCTGCATTGGCCACAGGTTATTTTGCATTGATGCGCAGACCGGGCTAAATTTGCTAAAGACCCTGAAACAAAACCAGGTTGAACTGCCTCAAACTGCTCCCTATCGGTACATAGAAGTGTATCGTTCCCTGCGCTTCATATACAGCACAAGCACCCAGAGCGCTCTCATCTTCTAACCTGTACTAATCCTTCAAACTTCTTTACCTGAGAGTCTTAAAGTGTTGTCTAATTTCCACAACATTTTGGCTTCCCTGGTTGGGCTACATGAGTGTTCCAGCTGCTTCTGGGCAACAAGCAAATCAGAGGATGCTCGTGAACTATTTCACCCTGAAGCCTGCATTGGCCACAGGTTATTTTGCATTGATGCGCAGACCGGGCGGACCGCTGTAGCCACACCACAAAATGGATAGGAATAATCAGAAAACAGCCAAAAGGTAAATTAGAATTTCATAAAGTCATTGTATATTGTTGTCTTTGTGGAAGTGAGTCAATGAAATAAGAAATGCGTGTATTTCTTTAGAGAAGGATTAGAAATGTTCCCGGATCTTGGTCCTCCGCGAGGGCCAAGGTATTGGTGTTTCTTAGATTGCAGCTTCAAAACTAATTAATATTTAACGGTGACAGAGTTTACGGGCGGAGAAGGATAGCCCCGGGACCTCTCTGCTGCTTTTTGTACTGTGAATCATCAGATCCTCCTGTCAACTCTCTCCAGCCTAGTCATTACCGGAACTGCTCTGTGCTGCAGGGAATCCCATCTCTCAGACAGATCCTTCAAGGTATTGTGGAGGGGTGGTATTTCTGATAAGGGCGCACGGTGGCTTAGTGGTTAGCACGTTCGCCTCACACCTCCAGGGTCAGATCCAGGGGTTCGATTCCCGCCGGGGCCATGTGTGTGCGGAGTTTGCATGTTCTCCCCGTGTTGTGGGGGTTTCCTCCGGGTACTCCGGTTTCCTCCCCCAGTCCAAACACATTGGTAAATTGTCCGTAGTGTATGAATGGGTGTGTGAGTGTGTTTGTGATTGTGCCCTGCGATGGACTGGCACCCTGTCCAGGGTGTACCCCGCCTTGTGCCCGATGCTTCCTGGGATAGGCTCCAGGTTCCCCGCGACCCTGAAGCAGGAATAAGCGGTTGAAGATGGATGGATGGATGGTATTTCTGATACTCAGCAACTCACAACTGGGGTTTCTCATGGGTCAGTTCTGGTTCCACTGCTCTTTTCTATTTATACTACATCTCTAGGGCTGGAGATTGAGTCTCATGGCTTCACATATCATTGCTATGCTGATGACACCTATATTTGTCCTTCCAGCCTGATGATCCATCTGTCTCCGCACAAATCTCTGCTTGCCTGTCACACATCTCGGATTGGAAGAGGGAACACCATCTTAAGCTCAACTTGGCAAAGTCTGATCCCAGCCTGCCCCTCAGTCAACCACAACCTCACTGTACAGCTTGGCTCAACCATGCTCAAGTCAACCAGGACAGCCAGAAACCATGGGGTGACTTTTGATGACAGCTTGACCTTTACAGACCACCTTTCAAAAAAAACAATAGCAAACATATATATAAAAAAAAAAAAAAAAAAAAAAAAAAAAAAACAAAATAAAAGAACTGGCAAGCAATTTTTTTGTTTTATTTAACAATATTGTATCACTAATTTTTTTTTTTCTTGCTTGATATATCACTTTGCTTGTATTTCCTCATTTGTAAGTCACTTTGGATAAAAATGTCTGCTAAATGAATAAATGTAGATGTAAATGTGAGGGAAATTTTTACTTTGTAATTATTCTGCACCTGAGTGGATAACACCTAAGAAGGTCATGTGTTGTCATTTAGATTAGTACAGAATGTTTATCTGCTTACAGAGACCCTTAACAGTTTTTCTGTTAAGAGTTTGTCTTCACATTTGAACATACAGCTTAAACATTTAAGATATCAAAGCGATAAGCTATCCCATACTAAGTTGCTTCATTTATTAGTTTAATTTAGCTAATTTCCTGACCAAGGTTTTGTTGTTAAGACCATTACAAGCTTCATATTTTGCCATTTTGGGCATGACTCATTTTTTTTGCCCAGGAGTATAGCTGTGGGGGTTCATGCCCATTCAGCCACACTCGAGTTCTTCCACATCAGCCTTGACAAACTATGTGTTTATGGACCTCACTTTGTTCACAGGAACATCGTCATGATAAAACAGGTTTGGGACATTAGTTCCAGATGAGGGAAATCTTAATGTCACAGCATACAAATACATCCTATACAATTAGGTGCTTCCAATTTTGAGGCAACAGTTTCGAGAACAACTACATACTGAATGTGTGTGATGCTCACTTTAAACAGGTTGGGGATGGTTACTTCAAAAATGTATTCCATTACAGTTGCAAATTAACGTAATCCAAATATCACAATATGAAAGTAATGTAATCGAATTACTTTTGGATTACTACAAGTACACATACCTAAATAAAGTCAAGAGAAAAGCCAATATGATCTAAAATACTTTGATTTAGAGCTAAAAACATGTTCAATTATTGGATTTGTTTTAAGAAAATAAATAAATATATGAATAAATAAAAGATACTGTCCCCGATGCGGGGAACATTGCATCATAAAAGCTAGGGAGACCATATTCTGATTTCCAAAAAGAGGATACTTAATAGCGTTCAAAACAGTGTTACTATGGATGTAGATTTTTATACACTTTTAATTCCTAAATTTAAAAAAAATATCCATGGAATATGAAGCAAGTGTACCACAAGTGTACCTTCTGCCATCATTTACAAATTTGAATGGCAATGTAATACAAAGCAATGTGATGCAGGACAACATGAAATTAAAATGACCTTATATGGCCATGTGCATTGTTTCGACTCAGGACAGCTGTCATTTGCTGCTATTGGCAAGAAACTGTTTAATGCCGTACGCAACAGCGCTTCACCTTCGTGTGTTCTCTGAGAGGATGCTTAGGGTTGAGAGGCAGGAATTTGGCCAATAGTTGCTGCAAGTCATTTATAATAGACCAGTCAGTGTGCGAGAAGGTGGGAATTACAGAGAAGGGTTAAAGCAATGCAAATATGCGCACACATGATGCAGTATTAGCACACAGTGGTTAGTGGTTAGCACATTTGCCTAACATTGCCAGGGTTGGGTTTGCATGCTCTCCCCATGCTGCAGGGGTTTCTTCTGGGTATTCCGGTTTCATCACCCAGCCCAAATGTATGATAGGCGGCTGTGGCGCAGTTCGATTCCCGGCCCGGATGACTCCACGTGCCGAAGTGTCCTTGGGCAAGACACTGAACCTCAAGTTGCTCCCAATGGCAAGTTAGCACCTTGCATGGCAGCTCTGCTACCACTGGTGTGTGAATGGGTGAATGAGACACAGTGTAAAGCGTTTTGGATATAAGTGTGCAATTTACCATGATAGGCTGATTGGCATGTCCAAAATTGTCCATATTGTATGAATGGGTGCATGAATGTATATATGACTGTGTATGTTTGACGCATTAGCAGGATGTACCCCACCTTGTACCTTAGGCTCCAAGTTCCCTGTGACCCTGAAGGAAAAGTGGTATAGAAGATGGATGATGCAGTATTATACCATAAGCACATCATAATGAAACTAAAGGCATTTTCTCAAATTTAGAAATCTCGGCCAGACGCTTGTTTAAGGTCTGAAAAAGAGGAGGTATAGTCACCCTAACAAAAGCATTTCAGAGAACAATTTGTGTTAATTTGAGCCACGACTGGCAAGAGAGAACCAGAACTATAATCAAGCATGGGTCTATATTGTGTGTCAAAAATGTAATTTTTTTGGTTTAAAATGAAAAAAAAAAGGAGTGGATGAATTTCACTTCAGGGCACCAGCATGTTTAAACCCGCCTCCATTCCCTTTCAACAGATGCTTAAGTCCGAGAGTGACAAACACCACACACACACACACACACACACACACAGATGCGCAATGGAGCTGTTCACTGCGATCATACATGCTGCTTCGCTGAGCTTTGTACTGGCTGGAGCTGGGGTACACTGGACATATATAGGCAAGTACTATTACTTTTGTAAATTAGATTTAAATAGTAAACTTACTCCTACAGTATTATAGTAATGGATTTATATAAGCACCTTAGTCTTGAGTTTAATTAACTCAGCAACTGAATGTTGTTGTGTATAGCACTCAGAACCTTCCTACAATTGTATTAGACATGTATGTAGAGTGCTTTGGCTGAGGTCACCCCTTTTGGAAAACGTGTTACAACAAAATGCAATACACAAGCACTGCACTCTCAGAGAACAAAACATAACAAAACTGTACCATTAATTGTCCCTGTGTTGGTACCCTTATATGTATTACATGTATTTAATCCGCAAATGTGGATATAGTGTACCTTTGAAAAAATCTAAGGTATATTTGAACTGTAATTTCCTTTTAGAGTAAAGATTTAAAGGTACAATATACTAGGTAAAAGGTACATACAAAAATACAACAGATGTATCTTTGAGGGTATTATTCCAGAGCCAAGGAAAGGTAGAGTTTAGCATCATTTTTGTGAGAGTGTGGGAAAAGTTGTACTTGTGGATATTTGAGGTTTCTGCAGCATAGTGTTATGTTTGGTTTTCAACCTTGCTCGGTGGTGCTATTTTTAAACGGTGTCACCTATAGATTTTCTTCCAACCTTATATTTACGAAATAAATACATTATGATATGTCTCATTTTCAAGTTTTATTAGACAGAAACTTTCAAGGAACAACCACAAGCCTCACTGTATTAAAATACCAAAGCTTTGTAAAGGCACGCTCGCACTGGAGTCTGTTTTGCATCTTTAATGCTCCTCACCTAAACATCATGCACTTGTTTTTCAGATGGAAGAACTGGTGTAAACATGAATAGGTTGTGATAATGCTATCTGTTTTGCAGAGGGATCTCTGGATCAGATCCACTGGCCCGATGAGTATCCTTCGTGCGGTGGCCGTAAACAATCCCCCATTGACATCCAGCGGCGCAACGTGCAGTTCAACCCGCACATGCTGCAACTGGAGATGACCGGATATGGTGAGGTGAAGAATGGCAACTTCCTCATGATCAACAACGGACACTCAGGTCAATGTCTCTTATCTTTATTATAAATGCTTATAAAGGATCAGGGGGTTAAAAGTGCTGTGAATGAAAATCCTCAAAGTTAATACTGATGACCTACATCAGTCTGCTCAAAAAACCCCAATATAAACTCACAGAATTTGTAATGGTTTTAATGGTTATAATGGGAATTGTATTGGTTTTAATGGAAACCGTAATGTTCCCTGTGGGTCTCTAATGGAAATTTGTTGCCTTCTATTGGTGGCATGTTATGCCTACTGGATACTATTAAGGACCAGGGCACATGAACAGATTCCCCAAAATGTAAGATAATTCGAATTTTAATTCAACACAAAACTGAACCTAGATCAGGTTCGGCCAGTTCTTACCTCCCAAGATGTTTTCATCACTCTTCATCACTCCACCTGAATGGAACATGGTTCAAGTTTCATGCATGTCAGTACAAGCAGGTCGGGTATAAAACTGCCTGTCTTTACTACACACCTCAGATAGATTGCTTCCAATAAGTCTAGTAAATACATTTTTCACAAAAGCAAAAACATAACTATACAATTACTGTCCACTTTAACTGTTCCACATTCGGTACCACTCCTGTCATCACCCGAACTGGACAGTTATAGATTAGAATTTTTTTTTTACCTGGTCTTTTCCCAGTCTTGTACCTGCATGATTTTATGCATTGTTCTGCTGCCACCTCATTGGCCGATTGGATAACTGCACAAATGAACAGTTGTACAGGTGTTCCTATTAAAGAGGATGATGAGTGTATTTTTTTGTTATTATACA